ATGAAATTACTGGCAATCATGGAAAATCAAGTAGAGAATTGCAGGAACCGAAAAAACAAAAGAACCATAAAAGTATTATGGAACCGAGGTAGCAGTGGCATGACAAGTATCCGAGTACAATGTCCCTCAACAGTTCTGTGAACAACCCGCCTTCAAAAACTGTTCACCGATTAGGCGGGAAACCAGCGGCGTCTCCGAACTCTTAACTATGCTTGTTGAAGCCACATGCTTTGGACGCTTGAAATTTGTTCAGGCATTTAGAATCTGGCTTTCTGGTTTCTATGGTAGAAGAAAAAAATTAGAGAATGACCAGGGATCTAACTGTGGATATTGGGGTACAACATTTTCAGTAAATCTTATTTACGTATTTCTTTTATCGCTCGTGCAGAATTTCTTGCTTTCCTTCACTTCCGGAACAACGACTTATTTTTGTTCAATTTTTCTTCCTGTTTTGCGCAACCACATTTCGTAACTTTCATTCACTTTAATGAAGATCACTGGTCTGTGCTTCTTTTGTAGTTTATTTGTTATTAGTTGCCAGATGCAGCTGCGGTTTTTTTTTTTGCCGGCAATGGGCTACATTTCAGATTCTTTCTACTAGATTTTTTCCTTTAAATCTTTTAGCACATATGTTTTAATGGACTACGGTTTTTTTTTTTCTATGAAAATAACAGCAAAATTATTTTTTTTTGTAGCTCCGGATGATTACTGGTATTCGTGTAGTATTTTGTCTTTCACTTTCTACCTACATTTTTTGATCCTCTAGACGTTTGCCTGATCACGTGTTTCATTCCTTTTTTTAAAAGCTCTCATTCTCATTTCTTTAGTGGAATATAATATAAATCTGACAAAAACGATGACGTTTTCGGCTGTTCAATTGTTAAAGTCTGAAGACGATAGAAATTCGGAGAGTTGTGCTTAAAATAGAAAATTTAATTAGTTTTACATAATCTCCCGCAAGAAACAGGCACGAATAGTTAAAGATTGAAAAAACAAAATAGATTAAAACAATCTGCTCTGAAGTCCTTTAAGACAAAAGTAAGGACAGCAGAAAGATTCAAAAAGAAAAAGTTACGGGTCAGAGATTTGAAATGAGAAAGCAGGTCTTTGTACTTGTAGTAGGTATGTGAATTATCCGCTTTGATAAAATTGTGAAATGCCTAGTTCATCAGAATTGATTACAGCAGAAAGTTGAGCAAAAGAATAGAAGAAAAATGAAACGATGATATGGCACATACTTGGAACGAAGTGAAAACTGTAAAAGGATTGGGCAATACTGTGAAGATCAATTATAAAACTGCTAATGAGAGTGATATTTGTTGTTTGTTGGAATAATACTTTCTTCTCGGTGGGCAACCAATCCGTTCTTTTCTATCAGACAGTATTTCTTTAAGAGGAAACTAAGTATAAAACTGCGATACAATTTTTGCGCAGCTGTTAAACATTAAAAAAAACTTCTTTACTTTTCCATTTCTTCCTGACAGAACAGTGATATAACAGACAATTGGTCCCGAAAATTTATTTCACACAGTCACCTACTTCCCAGTTTTTTGTAAAAATTTGCTGGTTAAAAACCTGATGCTCTCCTATAAAATATTGCCAGCACTACATCAGAGTGTTTAGCAGATGTTTGATTAAACTGTCAATACTTTTAGGCAATATTTTTAACTCCTTTCTTTTTGCTTTATTCTCCCCTGAGAAAGATTCATGTATATTAGCTGTCTGCTTCCATTAAACCAAAAAATAAACAGTTTTTTAAAAGCTAACTGCTGTTTACCCGATAAATGAATGTCAATGATCTTAACAAAGACTTTCTCAAAAATCCCTCATGTACAATCCGACTAGGGCTTTTTTTAGCCGAAATAGTATCTTCGCACCTAACTCCTTTCTATCCAAATAACAGAAATGCTTCTTTCAAAACAACTTCACTATTTTCCAACTCTTCCATCAATTTATTTTGCAGAACTTCTGACACTGTCTTCTGAACCCTTCAAAACAGTTTACTTTTTTGGTCTTTCTCCTGATACTTATCCACCTCATATTTTTTTTTTTTTTGTTTTTCGTACTCTAAAGAAGTATATGCCCATCATTTTATAGCCTCCACATGTATTAAAACTCTTCTATCCTGAATCCTATGCCCTTGAATTTAGTTCTTTAAATAAGCCGGTATATTTTAATGTAGATCTTTCTAATGCTAAACTGGATGAAATAGATTTCTAAACTTGCTCTATTAAATCACTTTTGTCAAGCGACTGTGGAGAGTTCCACTCTATTTGCCACGTCACTTTTATGTTTGAATTACTTTATTTACGCTTCGCTGTGGCTTTTGAAATTTTCTAAAATTATAGTGCCACTTATCTTTTGGAACCACCATTTTACTTTTAAGGCAAGTCATAGACAGCGTGACAGTAGTTTCCAGGCTCTTTTTTTTCTCTTACTGGCATTTTTGTTAATAAATGCCTCCTCCCTTGAAAAAAGGAAGCTCTAACTTTCTTTTCTTCTAATATGTTTTCCTAAGCTACTATGCTACTCATCCTTCCCTTTTATCTTTTCCAGTAGGCAGTGCCCACTTTAAGTATAATTAAGCTTACCCCTTAACTGCAACAAGTGCAAAATTTACACTCATCGATATGAAGCATTTTTTGCAATTTTCAGAGAACAAAATAAGAAAACCACTAAAACCATGCTTAGTCTGCGAGAAACAGATGAGTTAACGATCACGGACAAAACTAAAACCAAAGGCAACAAAGACTTAATTAGATCATAAGACTAGATACAAAAGCCATGAAATATAACGATCTTGAAGCCAGATCCCACTAGCAAAAAGAAGTTATCGCTGTATGTATCCCGTAAAATAACACCTCTTATGATAGCTTCTTTCCGTGCATGGCGTCTACGATCATCTTCTCAAGTGCTCTGGCATCTGCAGCAAAACGGCGTATTCCTTCAGCCAACTTATCTGCAGCCATAGCATCGTCGTTTACTTGGAAGAGGAAGTCCGGCTGTGACACTGATACCTTCTCCATATCCAACGATTTTGCTGCAGCATAACAAATTGAAGTAGCATGAAGTATGGCCTCTTTCCAGCCCCCTTCCCTTGTTAGTGTCTCTTTATACTGCTCAATTACCACTGTCCGTGTGACTTGAATCACGGGGAAACTGTTTTAGGAAGAACGCCTTAATTGAAACTCAGACTAAGAAGGATGGAGGAAGCGACTGGGTCTAATGTGAATATCAACACTTCTTTACGTAGGACCAAAACAAGTTACCTTTCTCGACGCTTAAAGCAACAGGAATTTCTTCTTTATCGTTGGCCAGCTCCCTCAGAAGTGATGGGCTGTAAATTTTAGTATAATCATCACCCACCAACCGTTTTTAAAAGTTATTCTCTGCGTAGTAATACAGAAGACTGTCAGAGTCTTGATTTGAATTTTACACTACAATAACTTTCAATTTAACGTTTCTTTGAAAAACTTGGTTTTCACAATTTGTGATTGTTTACCTAATTGTCAGCAGGTCACAGCCAGCCAAACCTTTGATTTCTTCCGTGTTTCTAAAAGATGCAGCCATAACCTGCGTCTTATATCCAAACTTCTTATAGTAGTTATAGATCTTTTTGACGCTCTGAAACAGTGTTGTGTATGTGACGTAGCATAGCACAGATGTTTTTGAAAAAATTTTTGGAGTGGATACACGAAAAGCATTGGCCAGGACGAAATGAAGAACACCTTCACCAAAAATAGTTAGATAAAGATCGAATTTTGGGAAACAAGCAACAAAACTCCCACATTTATGACAAACGATATTTGAAAGAAATCATTTACCAAAACTCCAGGATCATTTTTACGATCGTAAGCTTGTTTTTCCCTATTTTTGAGGTTCCAGTCAAGAATGCGACCAACAAACGGAGAAATAAGAGTCACTCCAGCTTCAGCGCATGCTACAGCTTGAAAGAAGTTAAAAAGCAAAGTCATGTTGCAATGTATACCATGCTTGCTTTCCAGTTCCCTAGAAGATTTTGGACGAGTTTTTATGATAAGGCCAGGAAACAAAAATTACGAAGTCTCTGACCAGTGCATTTTAAACATCAGTTCAAAACGAGTATTGAATCAGGTTGTTGTTTCTCAAAATTAAGAAGAAAAGACGGCGAAAAAGTGAAGTCTTTCAACAAAGTGGAAGAAATTTTTAAATATCAAGAATGTATTAAAACAAGTGCAGGAAGATAAACCTGCCGGCTTGAATCCCTTCCCAAGTAGATGCCAGTTTGATAAGTATCCGTTCTTTTCCTATCCCCTCTTCCTCATAGAGTTTTATTAAGGCCAAAGCTTTTGCAACTTGAGCATCTTTGTCAAATGATAGTCTAAAACATATTGTTTTGAGAATCAGAAAGCCAAAGAATATTTAGTGACAACTGCAGTAGTTTCTTCAAATACAAAAGTAGTCAACCTTGCATCAACTTCTGTTGAAACCCGACCAGGAATAATTTTTAAAATTTCTTTACCAAACAGGACGAACAGTTTATCCATCGCCAACCTCTTAACCTAAAGCAATTACCAATTAGCGTCAAAAATAATGTGATTATTTTTTTCTACAAGTCGCTTTGACATCCAGCGTTCCTTTAGGCTGACATTAACTACTATTTTTGATTTTCCAATTTTTCACTGGAAAAAAGGCTTCAATGGAGTCAATGATAGCTTAGGAAAGGCAACCTCTGATTTTGTTACTGTAAAATAGCGATCACTGTGATCTTTTATACACTAGTCTGACCAAACTAGTTCATTCATTTGAGTAAAGGTTTCAAAATAATTTCCTCTATCAGGTCCTACTGTTCCTTCCAGTTTCCAAAGAAATTAAATCAAAAAGTTTGTTCAGAACTACAAAGTTCTTACAACGAGGAAAACCACATAATTATATGAGTATTTCAGCTGAAACAATTGAACGCAGTTTTCATCACTTCAGTTCTTTTCACGACTTTATGTGAAAATGCGCAAAAATCCTAGTACTTCAAAAAAGATTTTCAAGAATTTAAAGCGTCAAAAGCTTTACATTATCTTCTCCCGTGCTATGTTCCTTAGCATACTTGATGGCCTCGTGAAGCAAGTGACTGTAAGCCTCCATTTTTGATGCAGCAAGTAAAAGTGATGGGTTGGTAGTGGCATCGGTTGGATGGAACTCTTCGATTGCTGGAAGTTAGTAAACCCAGTAGTAATCGCATTCCGTCCAAGTAAATGAGTGTTTTAAGAAACGTCAGTCACCATATCTACTAGGTGAAAAGTAAATAAATAACTACCAATTAAAGTATTAAAACAAAAAAATTAGAGCAACGATTAATCTACCCTGAAAATCCCCAGTGTCTGCCACTACTGTAGTAACCTTCTTGATCTGTTCCAAAACGCAAGCCATTTTCCAACAGTTTCTAAAGCTTCATCTTTACAGTACCGCTAACAATGCTGTCATAAAGACAACTTTGCTTAAAAGTATTATGAGAAGCACGATTGTAAATAACGAAAATTAATTTAAAATACGAATTGTCGATACAGGTAATCAAAGAAAAAACACGTACAATTTTTATGCAGCTCTTATTTGAAAATTATTAAAAATAGCAAAATAATACTAACATAAAATACCATGTCAAAGGCCAAATTTGTGGTTCTTTTTAAACGACGGCAACTTAAAAAACCACCTTTTTTTTTCCACCATTCAATTTATGATTATAAACTCTTGCATACTACTAATCAGTTAAAAAGTTTTAGACGAAAT